CTGGGCAACACAGCAAGACCCTATATCAAAAAAAAAACTTAGCAGGGCATGGTGGCGCAAGCTTGTAGTCCCACCTACTCAGGAGGCTGAGGCTGGAGGATCGCTTGAGCCCAGGAGTTGGAGTGTTCAGTGAGCTACGATTGGGCCACTGTACTCCAGCCTGGGCAACAGAGTGAGACCCTGTCTCAACAGAAAAGGAAAAAAAAAAAGAAAACAACCCGGGTCTGTGAACCTGTAGATTGTATAAAATCTACACTCAGATCAAGTATTTCTGATGATAGATAATCTAGAAATGAAATTGCACTACACTCCAAATTTAAAACGCACACCAGATTTCAAAGACTCGATACCAAAATAAATGTTAAAATATCTCGTTAGTAATTTTCTCTATTGATTATGTGTTTAAATGACTATCTTTTGGATATATTGGGTTAAATAAAATACATAATGAAGCTTCATTTTATCTGTGCCTTTTCACTCTTTTTTTTTTTTAATTTCTTTTTCTTTTTCCTTTTTTTTTTTCTTTTTTTGAGACACGATCTTGCTGTGTTGCCAAGCTGGCGTGCAGTGAGCCATCATAGCATCTCAAACTCCCAGGCTCAAGTGAGCCTTCCACCTCAGCTTCCAAGTAGCTGGGACTACAGGCACACTCCACCATGCTCGGCTAATTTTTAATTTTTTTTTTGTAGAGATGGACTCTCACTATGTTGCCCAGGCTAGTCTCTAACTCCTGGCCTTAAGTGATCCTCCTACCTTGGCCTCCCGAAGCACTGGGATGACAGGCATGAGCCACCTTGAGCCCAGCCTTTTCACTCTTTTTAAAATGGCTTCTGGTAAGCTGGACATTACATATGTGGTTCCCGTCGTCTTTTTCTTGGGCAACACTCAGCACTCTTAGATAAACACAGGGCGATGTATACAAGAACATACACGGTAGCATCGTTAAAAGTAACCAAGAGTCGGCTGGGCGCGGTGGCTTAAGCCTGTAATCCCAGCACTTTGGGAGGCTGAGACAGGTGGATCACGAGGTCAGGAGATCGAGACCATCCTGGCTAACACGGTGAAACCCCATCTCTACTAAAAAAAAATACAAAAAAACTAGTTGGGGGAGGCGGCGGGCACCCGTAGTCCCAGCTACTCGGGAGGCTGAGGCAGGAGAATGGCGTAAACCCGGAAGGCGGAGCTTGCAGTGAGCTGAGATCCGGCCACTGCACTCCAGCCCGGGCGACAGAGCAAGACTCCATCTCAAAAAAAAAAGTAACCAAGAGAAGTAGAAACCAGCCTTCATCTTCATCAACAAGAGAGAGGGTAAATAAATTGTGGGTTTTGTTGTTGTTGTTGTTGTTTTTTCTTGAGTGTTACATTTTTCCTTTTTTTTCATGTAACTTTTAAGTTCAGGGGTACCTTGCAGGTTTGTTATATAGGTAAACTTGTGGCATGGGGATTTGTCATCACCCAGATTATGTCATCACCCAGGTATTAAGCCTAGTACCTGTGAGTTATTCTTCCTGATCCTCTCCCGACTCCCACCCTCCACCCTCAGGCCCCAGTGTATGCTGTTCCCCTCTGTGTGTCCATGTGTTCTCATCATTTAGCTCCCACTTATAGGTGAGAACATATGGTGTTTGGTTTTCTGTTACTACATTAGTTGGCTGAGGATAATGGCCTCCAGCTCCATCCATGTTCTTGCAAAGGACATGATCTCTTCTAATTGTGGCTTCTTTACACAATGAAATATTGTGCAAGAGATAAAACAAATGAACTAAAGCCACGTGTGTCTGCCTGGGTAAATCTAAAGAACAGCACAGTGAGGGTCGGGTGTGGTGGCTCACACCTGTAATCCCAGAACTTTGGGAGGCCAAAGCAGGTGGATCATGAGGTCAGGAGATCGAGACCATCCTGGCTAACACAGTGAAACCCCATCTCTACTAAAAATATCAAAAAATTAGCTGGTGTGGTGGCAGGTGCCTGTAGTCCCAGCTACTCGAGAGACTGAGGCAGGAGAATGGTGTGAACCCTGGAGGCAGAGCTTGCAGTGAGCTGAGACCGTGCCACTGCACTCCAGCCTGGATGACAGAGCGAGACTCCATCTCCAAAAAAAAAAAAAAAAAAAGGGCCGGGTGCAGTGGCTCACTCCTGTAATCCCAGCACTTTGGGAGGCTGAGGCAGGCGGATCACGAGGTCAGGATATTAGGACCATCCTGGCTAACACCATGTAACCCCTGTCTCTACTAAAAAATACAAAAATTAGCTGGTGTGGTGGCGGGCACCTGTAGTCCCAGCTACTCGGGAAGCTGAGGCAGGAGAATGGTGTGAACCTGGGAGGCAGAGCTTGCAGTGAGCCGAGAGCCCTCCACTGCACTCCAGCCTGGACAACAGAGCAAGACTCCATCTCAAAAAAAAAAAAAAAAACACACACACACACACACAGTTAGTGACCAAAGCAGGTCGCAGAAGACACTGTGTGCACATGCAGACTTTTTGTTTGTTTGAGACAGAGTCTTACTCTGTCATCCAGGCTGGAGTGCAGTGGCACAATCTCTGCTCACTGCAACCTCTGCCTCCTGGGTGGGTTCAAGCAATTCTCATTCCTCAGCCTCCCGAGTAGCTGGGATTACAGGCATGGACCACCGCACCCAGCTAATTTTTGTATTTTTAGTAGAGACAGGATTTTGCCATGTTGGCCAGGCTGGTCTCGAACTCCTGGCCTCAAGTCATCTGCTCGTGTCAGCCTCACAAAGTGCTGGAACTGCAGGTGTAAGCCACCATGCCTGACCGTATGCAGAGTTAAAGCACACAGTAGTACCGGGAATTGGATGTGGATACATGTTGGTATAATAAAAATATAAAAACATGCATGGAGGCCGGGCCCAATAGCTCATGCCTGTCATCCCAGCACTTTGGGAGCCCGAGGCAGGTGGATCACTTGATGTCAGGAGTTTGAGACCATCCTGGCCAACATGGTGAAACCCTGTCTCTACTAAAAATCCAAAATTAGGGCCGGGCGCGGTGGCTCACGCCTGTAATCCCAGCCCTTTGGGAGGCCAAGGCGGGCGGATCACGAGGTCAGGAGATTGAGACCATCCTGGCTAACACGGTGAAACCCCATCTCTACTAAAAATACAAAACATTAGCCAGGCGAGGCGTGGTGGCGGGCGCCTGTAGTCCCAGCTACTTGGAGGCTGAGGCAGGAGAATGGTGTGAACCTGGGAGGCGGAGCTTGCAGTGAGCCGAGATTGCACCACTGCACTCCAGCCTGGGCAACAGAGCGAGACTCTGTCTCAAAAAAAAAAAAAAAAATTAGTTGGACGTGGTGGCAGGTGCCTGTAATCCTAGCTACTTGGGAGGCTGAGGCAGAAGAATCACTTGAGCCCAAGAGCTGAGATTGCGCCACTGCACTCCAGTCTGGGCTACAGAGCAAGACTCTGTTTCAACAAAACAAAACGAAAAACATGTATGGAAATGATAATCAGACTCCAGGTACTGCTAACCTGCAGTGGAGTAGGCTAGAGGTGGGGAAGGGAGAAGGGGACCTGGAAGAGGGGGTTCACCAGGTCCTTTGTGTTTGTAACATTTTGTTACTGGGGGTGGGTATGACTGGAGGGTTTGGTATGAAATATATATATTTTTTGAGACGGAGTTTCACTCTTGTTGCCTAGGCTGGAGTGCAGTGGTATGATCTCGGCTCACTGCAACCTCCGACTCCTGGGTTCAAGCGATTCTCCTGTGTCAGCCTCCTGGGTAGCTAGGATTACAGGCATGCACCACCATGCCCGGCTAATTTTTATATTTTTAGTAGAGACAGGGTTTCATCATATTGGTCAGGCTGGTCTTGAACTCATGACCTTAGGTGATCTGCCTGCCTGGGCCTCCCAAAGTGCTGGGATTACAGGCATGAGCCACTGCACCCGGCCTGATTGGAATATTTTAACCAATTATTAGATGACCAAAGCCATTTTTAAGCCTTTTAGTTTCTGGTCAGAAAGTTTCAAAGAGGCTGGGTGTGGTGGCTTATGCCTGTAATCCCAGTACTTTGGAAGGTCAGAGTGAGAAGATCCCTTGAACCCAGGAGTTCAAGACCAGCCTGGGCAATATAGTGAGACTGTCTCTACAAAACATTTAAAAATTAGCCAGGTTTAGTGGTGCGCACCCGTAGGCCCAGCTACTTGGGAGGGTGAGATGGGAACATCGCTTGAACCTAGGAATTTCTGTTACAGTGAGCTATGATGGCACCACCGTACTCCAGTTGGCACAACAAATTGAGATCCTGTTTCAAAAAAAAAATTATTTCACAGCTGGGTATGGTGGCTCACGCCTGTGATCCCAGAACTTTGGGCGGCTGAGGTAGGCGGATCACTTGAAGTCAGGAGTTCAAGACCAGTCTGGCCGACATGGTGAAACCTTGTCTCTACGAAAGTATAAAAATTACCCAGATGTGGTAACATATGCCTGTAATTCCAGCTACTTGGGAGGCTGAGGCAGGAGAATCTCTGGAACCAGGAGGCAGAGATTGCAGTGAGCCCAGGTAGTGCCACTGCACTACAGCCTGGGTGACAGAGCAAGACTCTGGCTTATCAATCAATCAATCAGTCAATAAAAATATATTTCTAAGAACTGCAGCCTTCGGCCTCTCAGGTCTCAGGGTCCCTGACCAGCTGTCCTGCCGTCTCCCTTCTGTGCCAGCTGGTGGCCATGACTGGGTTTCGTGGATGTGTATGTTCCTGAGGAAAGATGGTTTGCTGCGAGTGCTGCTGTGGGGAGGACATGCCGTGTCTGCCTGGGAGAAGAGGCAGCTGGGGCCATGGCCCGGAGTGGTAGGAGCCACAAGCCACCCTGGGCAGGACGAGGCCCTGAGAGAGGCGAGCTTTTTGTGCCCGCAGGTCGGGAACTCACTGCTGAGCTTCCTGCCGTCCAAGGCCCACTGTTTTCCAGAGAGTCCCTTCCAAAGGCCTCACCCAGCCCAGCTGAGGTAGCTCATTTTGCCATTTCTTCATTTTTAGGACCACTGGCATCTGGGAAGTAACAACGCAGGATGCCCCCTGGGGTGGACTGCCCCATGGAATTCTGGACCAAGGAGGAGAATCAGAGCGTCGTGGTTGACTTCCTGCTGCCCACAGGGGTCTACCTGAACTTCCCTGTGTCCCGCAATGCCAACCTCAGCACCATCAAGCAGGTACAGCCTCCATCTGGTCCTCAGACCTTGGTGCTCAGAGAGAGAGAGAGAGACAGACAGACAGACGGACAGACAGATGGACAGATGCATTGCTTTTCAGACTTGGGATCCTCAGATGAGAATTTTAAAAGATAAATAATGGGGTTTTTGTGTGTGTGTGTGTGTTTTTTTTGAGACGGAGTTGCGCTCTTATTGCCCAAGCTGGTGTGCAATGGCGCAATCTCGGCTCACCGCAACCTCCAACTCCTGGGTTCAAGCGATTCTTCCACCTCAGCCTCCTGAGTAGCTGGGATTACAGGCATGCGCCATCATGCCCGGCTAATTTTATATTTTTAGTAGAAACGGGGTTTCTCCATGTTGGTCAGGCTGGTCTCAAACTCCCGACCTCAGGTGATCCTCCCGCCTGGGCCTCCCAAAGTGCTGAGATTACAGGCGTGAGCCACTGCGCCCGGCCAATAATGGTGTTTTTTGTTTTTGTTTTTGTTTTTGAGATGGTCTCGCTCTGTCACCCAGGCTGGAGTGCAGTGGCATGATCTCAGCTGACTGCAACCTCCGCCTCCCAGGCTCAAGCAATTCTCGTGCCTCAGCCTCCTGAGTAGCTGGGACTACAGGCACGTGCCATTACACCCAGCTAATTTTGTTTTTTTTTTTGTATTTTTTGTAGAGATGGGGTTTCACCATGTTGCCCAGGCTAGAATGTGCCATCATATTTGAAACCACACTCCATCCTAAGGCTGCCTAAGTGGTTTACAGGTCTTTTGTCTTTAAAGCTGTTGCCATAGTAAACAACATCTTTTTTTTTTTTTTTTTTTAAGATGGAGTCTTGCTCTGTCGCCCAGGCTGGAGTGCAGTGGCGCGATCTCGGTTCACTGCAAGCTCCGCCTCCTGGGTTCACGCCATTCTCCTGCCTCAGCCTCCCGAGTAGCTGGGACTGTAGGCTAATTGTAAACAACATCTTTGGAAAGAGATTTTGGTTTGTTGAATACTCTTCAGGATGGACTACTGAGTCAAAGGATAAAATATGTGGATGATATTTGGTGGATATTGTCTTGTGACCAAAAGGGCTTGTGCCCTTACTGAGCATGGGACTTCAGGGATCAAGCGTTAGGCTGTGGGAGGGCAGGACCTTATCCCAGAATTTTATTTTATTTTTATTTTTTGAGACAGGGTTTCACTCTGTTGCCCAGGCTGGAGTGCGGTGGTGCGATCTCGGCTCACTGCAACCAACCTCTGCCTCCCGGGTTCAAGCGATTTTCCTGCTTCAGCCTCCCAAGTAGCTGGGACTACAGGCACGTGCCACCATGCCCAGCTGATTTTTGTATTTTTAGTAGAAACGGGATTTCACTATGCTGGCCAGGCTGGTCTCAAACTCCTGACGTCAAGTGATCTGCCCGCCTCGGCCTCCCGAAGTGCTGGGATTACAGCCGTGAGCCATTGTACCTGGCCCTTATCCCAGAATTTTAAAAGCTATAATTGGGAGCAGGGAAAACAAATGAAAGAAGTAATGGATCATCTTTGAGAGTTTTTTCTTCTTCTCTTCCTGGGAGATGTCTTTAAAAATTAAGTTTCTTTTTCCTTCCATTGGAAGAATAATATGGACACATTACAATTTAGGAAAAGGCTGGGCATAGTGGCTCATGCCTGTAATCCCAGAACTTTTGGAGGCTAAGGCAGGAGAATTGCTTGAGCCCAGGAGTTCAAGACCAGCCTGGGCAACATGGCAAAACCCTGCCTCTACAGAAAATAAAAAATAAAAAAATTAGCCAGGGCCAAGCATGGTGGCTCACGTCTCTTATCAGCACTTTGGGAGGTGGAGGCAGGTAGGTCACCTGAGGTCAGGAGTTTGAGACCATCCTGGCCAACATAGTGAATCCCCATCTCTACTAAAAATACAAAAAATTAGCCAGGCATGGTGGTGGATGCCTGTAATCCCAGCTATTCAGGAGGCTGAGGCAGGAGAATTGCTTGAACCTGGGAGGTGGAGGTTGCAGTGAACCGAGATCGGGCCATTGCATTCCAGCCTGGGCAACAAGAGCAAAACAATATCTCAAAAAAAAAAAAAAAAAAAATTAGCCTGTGTGGTGGCATGTGCCTGTAATCCTAGCTACTCAGGAGGCTGAGGCAGGAGGATCATTTGAGCCTGGGAGTTTGAGGCTGCAGTGAGCCATGATCCGCCACTGCACTCTAGCCTGAGTGACAGAGTGAAACCCCGTCTGTAAAATACATAAATAAATAAACAAAAACGAACACAAATAAAAAATAAAATGTAGGAAAAGAAGAAAAAGTGGAAAAAGGAAAAAAATTACCTGTGATCCAGCCATATGAGACAACCACGGTGAATACTTTGGCTATTGCCTGTTTTCTCCTCTATGTACAGTGTTTTTTGTGATAGTTCTGATTATGACCTTTCATATCTTTTTTTTCTGAGTTAACGATATAACATCTTTTTTTTTTTTTTTTTTTTTTTTTGAGACGGAGTCTCACTGTGTCGCCCAGGCTGGAGTGCAGTGGCCGGATCTCAGCTCACTGCAAGCTCTGCCTCCCGGGTTTTTTACGCCATTCTCCTGCCTCAGCCTCCCGAGTAGCCGGGACTACAGGCGCCCGCCACCTCGCTTGGCTAGTTTTTTTTTGTATTTTTTAGTAGAGACGGGGTTTCACCGTGTTAGCCAGGATGGTCTCGAACTCCTGACCTCGTGATCCGCCCGTCTCGGCCTCCCAAAGTGCTGGGATTACAGGCTTGAGCCACCGCGCCCGGCCACGATATAACATCTTATTCACGTTATTAACTTTATATAGATACCATTGTATTTTATTTTGCTTGAGAAGGATCTCACTTTGTTGCCCAGGCTGGAATGCAGTGGTGTAATCCTAGCTCCTCTGCAGCCTCGACCTCCTGGGCTCAAGCGATCTTCCCATCTTAGCCTGCTGAGTAGCTGAGACTACAGGCATACACCACCACGCCTGGCTAATTTTATTTAGTTATTTATTTTTGTAGCAGTAGGACCTTGCCATGTTGCCCAAGCTACAGATATCATTTTAGTTTTTTATTTTTATACTTTTTTTTTTTTTGAGACAGGGTCTTGCTCTGTCATCTGGGCTGTAGTGCAGTGGCATGATCACAGCTCACGGCAGCCTCAACCTCCTGGGCTCAAATGATTCCCCCACCTCAGCCTCCTGAGTAGCTGGGACTACAGGTGCATGCCACCATAACCAGCTAATTTTTTTATTTTTTGTAGAGATGGAGTCTTATTATGTTGCCCAGGCTGGCCGTGATCTCCTGTGCTCAAGTGATCCTCCCATCTCAGCCTCCCAAAGTGCTGGGATTACAGGAGTGAGCCACCGCACCTGACCTAGAGGTCATTTTAAATTAGTCTTATTTTTCCACTTACAGAGCTGTGCCTGTGGGTTATTAAAATGCAAACAGTGCAGAGGCATAGCATATACATCTCGATTTGGTCCCGATTCTTCCTATTTGTATTTATCCCCAGGGGCCAGATAGTAAATATTTTAGCTGGCTGGCTCTGTTATCTGTTGTGATGATTCAGTCCTGCCACCACAGGACAGGAGCAGCCCTGGGTGATATGTAAATGAAGGGGCGTGGCTTTGTGGGGTTAACCAGGTAGCAGGTGGATTTGACCAGGAAAAGGGTGGTTTGCTAACCCCTGGCCTATGTTAATCAGTATGTTTATTAGGGTTTTTGTGTGTTTTTTGGTTTGTTTTTTTTTTTTGAGACAGAGTCTCGCTCTGTCGCCCAGGCTAGAGTGCAGTGGCTGGATCTCAGCTCACTGGCTCACTACAAGCTCCGCCTCCCGGGTTTACGTCATTCTCCTGCCTCAGCCCCCCGAGTAGCTGGGACTACAGGCACCTGCCACCTCGCCCAGCTAGTTTTTTTGTATTTTTTAGTAGAGACGGGGTTTCACCGTGTTAGCCAGGATGGTCTCGATCTTCTGACTTTGTGATCCGCCCGTCTCGGCCTCCCAAAGTGCTGGGATTACAGGTGTGAGCCACCGCGCCCGGCCTGTTTTGTGTTTTAATGGAAATGGGCTTGACTCACACCTGCTGCTCTAGATCTTGGGGTTTTCCCCTCACTTAATGACACACCTTGGACCCCTCCAGGCCAGCACATAGAGCTGCTAGACGGTCCCTAGACTGTCACAGCTTGGCGCCATCCCACTGCTTGACAGACCATAGTTAGCCGTTGCCCTTGGTAGGAACACTGGGAACTTCCCTCCTTTCTCATCTTTGTGACTCAGTGAACACCTTTCAACTGCTTGTTGCTTGGGAGAGCTGGAGGCCCGTCACCCCAGGGCACACACTCCATGGAGAATTCTCTTTGGGCCCCCTTGCTGTGTTAAATATTTTTGAGTTCGTTACCAACATTTAAAAATCAGGGTTGTCAGGCGCGGTGGCTCATACCCGTAATCCCAGCACTTTGGGAGGCCGAGGCGGGTGGATCACCTGACGTCAGGAGTTTGGGACCAGCCTGGCCAACACAGTGAAACCCCATCTCTACTAAAAAGAAATACAAAAAATTTAGCCAGGCATGGTGGTGCCTGCCTATAATCCCAGCTATTCGGGAGGCTGAGGCAAGAGAATCACTTGAACCTGGGAAGCAGAGGTTGCAGTGAGCCAAGATTGTGCCACTGCACTCCAGCCTGGGGGACAGAGTGGGACTCCATCTCAAAAATAAAATAAATAGGTGAAGAACCCCAGGATAGTTAGCTGGGCTGCGTGAAGGTCATGGCACCCATCTCTGGAGTGACCTAGGGTAGTCCTGCGCTCTGGGAGGGAAGCCTGTGGGACGTGGTGCCAGCCCCAGATCTCAGCACCTCCCAGCTGCCCCCACAGAAGGGCAGCAGTGGAGAAGCCTGTCCACCCATGATCAGCACCCGGGGGGCTGCAGAGAGCACAGATCTTGGGGTCTGCCTCTGCCCTCTGGGAGGTTTGGACCCCCCAGGCTGGAGGCCAGCTCTCCATCCACCCTCAGCCTCCTACCTCCCAGTGGCTGCCTTGGGTGGAGGGGCTTACCAGTGACTGTCCCCCCAGCTGCTGTGGCACCGCGCCCAGTATGAGCCACTCTTCCACATGCTCAGTGGCCCCGAGGCCTATGTGTTCACCTGCATCAACCAGACGGCGGAGCAGCAGGAGCTGGAGGATGAGCAACGGCGTCTGTGCGACGTGCAGCCCTTCCTGCCCGTCCTGCGCCTGGTGGCCCGCGAGGGCGACCGCGTGAAGAAGCTCATCAACTCGCAGATCAGCCTCCTCATCGGCAAAGGTAGCCCTGCCGGGTGGGCTGTGTGGCCGGGCTGGCCCTGCCTGCCCTGCCCGCTGACCCAGCCCTCCCCGCCCCACAGGCCTCCACGAGTTTGACTCCTTGTGCGACCCAGAAGTGAACGACTTTCGTGCCAAGATGTGCCAGTTCTGCGAGGAGGCGGCCGCCCGCCGGCAGCAGCTGGGCTGGGAGGCCTGGTTGCAGTACAGCTTCCCCCTGCAGCTGGAGCCCTCGGCTCGAACCTGGGGCCCTGGCACCCTGCGGCTCCCAAACCGGGCCCTCCTGGTCAACGTCAAGTTTGAGGGCAGCGAGGTGAGCCCGTTCGTAGCCTGCGGCATCCAGGCTGCTCTGTCCATGGGGAGCACTTCCTCCGTGAAACTCCTCAGTCATCCACAGGCCCCCCTCCCCCAGTGGCATCAGATGGTGTTTGCCAGGTGTCTGTGCATGTGTGGGGCTCAGCTGAACGTCCCCCCAGGCAAGCTCGACGTGGCAGGATGACCCAGTGGTGTGGGGCTTTGGGCATCAGTTCATTCTTTGAACAAATATTTCCCAGTGTCGTCCGTGAACTCCCCAGACCCTGTCCTTGGGGGCAAATAGGCAACCCTGCCCTGTGCCCCAGAACCCCGGGGGCCTCGAGGGCAGCAGACTCACCTCCCTCCTCCCCACAGGAGAGCTTCACCTTCCAGGTGTCCACCAAGGACGTGCCGCTGGCGCTGATGGCCTGTGCCCTGCGGAAGAAGGCCACGGTGTTCCGGCAGCCGCTGGTGGAGCAGCCGGAAGACTACACGCTGCAGGTGAACGGCAGGCATGAGTACCTGTACGGCAGCTACCCGCTCTGCCAGTTCCAGGTGAGGCCGCTGAGGCCCGCTGCACTCTGGGCTCCCGCCGCCCTGGACGGGTCCTGGGTGGGAGTTGGGGAGCTGACATTTGGGCGCATCTTGAGCCTGCTGAGCCAGGCCTTTGGGTCACCACCAGAGCATCCCCTGGTAGCGCTGGCCCTCTCTGAGAGCACAAGGAGGGGCTCCGTCTTCGGGAGGTGGAGGTGGGGCAGGAAAGACCAGCAGGAAGTCCTCCCCTCCCCCAAGGCCTGGGACAGGCAGTGGGCAGCTTGGGGGGTCCTGGGAATCCTGGTGTCCAGGGAGTGGTTGGGTCCGCCCCACCGGCCGCTCACCCTGCGCCCCGTCTCAGTACATCTGCAGCTGCCTGCACAGTGGGCTGACCCCTCACCTGACCATGGTCCATTCCTCCTCCATCCTCGCCATGCGGGATGAGCAGAGCAACCCTGCCCCCCAGGTCCAGAAACCACGTGCCAAGCCGCCTCCCATTCCTGCAAAGAAGGTGAGATGGCGCCTTCCGCCTCCCCTCCGAGCCACCCCTTCTTCTCGCCTGGCGTTCAACTCCAGGTGCCACTGGCCATGGGTCCAGGGGCCCTTGGTATGGAGGGCTGGGGCTTTGAGCTGGGGAAGCCAACACAGCTGACCAGCGTCCTGGGCCGGGAGCCTGTGGGACCGCTGTGGGTGGGGGGCAGCCCCATGCCTGGCTCACCGGCTGCCCTTCTCTGCAGAGCTCAGGGGTGTTGGGCCCCCCTGGGAAGCCCGCATGGCAGGTTTTCTGGTAAAGGAGAGCATTGTGGACAGGCCCAAGCCTGGCCGCAAACCTGTGACCCTCTCACCCGCCCCGAGTGGTCACGGGCCTCACCATCGACCAGGGAGACAAGCTGTTCTTTGAGCCGTGTTAACAGCCCTGCCTCCCCGACCCCCAGCCCTTCTCTGTGTCCCTGTGGTCCCTGGAGCAGCCGTTCTGCATCGAGCTCATCCAGGGCAGCAAAGTGAACGCCGACGAGCGGATGAAGGTGGGGCTCCTGGGATAGGTGGGGGAGACACTGTTTTTTTGCACCAACAAGGTGGCTGTATCCCGGAGGGGCAGCAGAGGAAGGAGGGGGATCACATGAAAGCCACCTGACCACATTACCCAGCATCCCTGCCTGAGGCGCTGTGAGCGGCTTGAAAACAGGAAGTGGGAAGGGGGGCGGGCCAGCCGGCCCTGGAGGCCGATTCGTAGAAATGTGGGCCAAGCAGCGTTCTGGGTATTTGGCTTTGGTGGAGGTTGTGAGGCCAGGTTCAGCCCAGGGATCTGGGACTGCAGAGCTGGGGGAGGGGCCGGGCATGGAAGAGGGGCTGGGTCCAGCTGGGCTGGGGGCTGTGGCGCTCCCTGGAGACACCAGGACGGTGCCTGCAGCCTGTGAGGGCTGCACCTGCCTCAACCCCTTGGGGGCCGAGCCCACCTCCCTGTTGTCTTCACACTTTCACACACTCCATCACAACAGCCTGCAGGCATGGGTTTTATTGTCCTGTTTGCAGGACGCGATACCTGAGTCCTCAGGTTGGCTCTCCTGCCTGGAGCGTGTTTCACTGGGGAAACTGTATGAGCAGGGCAGGTCTGGGTTCCTCTGGCAGGAATCGAGGGCGATTGGATCAGAGGGACTTCCAGGGTGGTGGTGTCAGATGGAATTGGAGGGGGCCAGACATCAGGTGGCAAGAAAAGTCCTTCCCCACCCACATGGGCTCCTAGGAATCTGAGAAGTCCGGGGAGCCCTAGGATGTTAGAGCAAGGGTCCCTGGAGTTGCGGATCCCTGATGGGGAAACTGAATCCTGGAGTGGGGAATGGACATGCCCCGAGGTCCCCAGAGTTGGGGGAGCTGAGACAAGGGCACCCGTGCCTAGCCCATGGTATCCTCCCTCACCCCAGGGCCACGCGTGCCCCTCAGGCCTTCCCTGTGCTGCACCACCTTCCTTTGCATGGGAAGTAGAGTTCAGACCCACCTGAGGACATGCAACAGGGAGATTGACACCTCCTTAAGGGGAGGGGAGAGGGGCTGGACCCCCTCACCCCTCACCCCTCATCCTGGCACCTTCTGCAGCTGGTGGTGCAGGCAGGGCTTTTCCACGGCAACGAGATGCTGTGCAAGACGGTGTCCAGCTCGGAGGTGAGCGTGTGCTCGGAACCTGTGTGGAAGCAGCGGCTAGAGTTCGACATCCACATCTGCGACCTGCCCCGCATGGCCCGTCTCTGCTTTGCACTGTACGCCGTGATCGAGAAAGCCAAGAAGGCCCGCTCCACCAAGAAGAAGTCCAAGAAGGCGGTGGGTCCCGGGGCCGGCGGGGAGGGGTGCAGGCCCCGGGGAGCCAGCGCAGCCCCTTGCTGGGCCACTCACCACTCTCCTCCCGGCAAGCACACAGCCTGGGGATGGGAGTCCTGGGATTGCTTGTGGACCCCAGCCTCCTCGTCCACCCCAGTCTGGCCACCAGCCCTGCTCGAGGGACACTCTGGGCTCCTGGGCTCCTATGCATGCTGCCTCAGAATATCTGGCCTGGGCTGTGGTCCTGCAGGAACCTGCAGGTAGTGCCCTGGGATGGAAGGACAAGCACAGTGTCATCCCTGGAGCAGAAAAGCCTGACTCAGTGGCTGGCCTGGAGGCACAGTGGCTGGGTGCTGAGTCATGGTCCCAGTATGTGGCTCCCCTTGGGGCTGATTCACTCCGAGCTGAGCTGGGCTGGGCTGGCCTCCGGGCTGTGCCGTCTGTTTGGGGATTTCTCAAGAAGCCAGGAGGGCCGGGCGTGGTGGCTCATGCCTGTAATCCCAGCACTCTGGGAGGCCAAGGCGGGTGGCTCACGAGGTCAGGAGTTTGAGACCAGCCTGGCCAATATGATGAAACCCCGTCTCTACTAAATATACAAAAAAATTAGCCAGGCGTGGTGGTGCATGCCTACTTGGGAGGCTGAGGCATGAGAATTGCTTGAACCCAGGAGGCGGAGGTTGCAGTGAGCCGAGATCGCGCCACTACACTCCAGCCTGGGCGACACAGCAAGACTCCGTCTCAAAAAAAAAAAAAAAAAAAGCCTGAGTAGGGGTGAGGGTGGGAACAGGAGGGGGCAGCAGATGTCGGCTGGCTTCACCTCTGGAGCCCTCAGAGGAAAGAGGAAAAAGCGGCTCCTCTCCTTCCCCAAGCAGGGTCTCCCAGGGGTCTGGTGGGGAGACCTTAGCTGGGCTCTGGGTCTTCTCGGGTGGGGTGCCGGGGGAGGGCAGCGAAGTTGGGTCTAGAGGCCCCTGAGTGGCTGTCCTCACCTGCCCTGTCCTCCTGCAGGACTGCCCCATTGCCTGGGCCAACCTCATGCTGTTTGACTACAAGGACCAGCTTAAGACTGGGGAACGCTGTCTCTACATGTGGCCCTCCGTCCCAGGTCGGCCCAGGCCCGGGAGGGAGAGGCGTTGGGAATGTGAGGGTCCCAGAAATGCTGGTCTCCCCTCTACAACTTCCTCTGCCCCTGTGTTCAGATGAGAAGGGCGAGCTGCTGAACCCCACAGGCACTGTGCGTAGTAACCCCAACACGGATAGCGCCGCCGCCCTGCTCATCTGCCTGCCTGAGGTGGCCCCGCACCCCGTGTACTATCCCGCCCTGGAGAAGGTCAGTGGGGGCCCCGCCACGTGAGGCTGAGGGGCTGACGGGGAGCTCTCCTGGCCCTGCTCCTGGAGCTCTTCAGAGAGTGCTCCCTGGCCACGTTGGGGCCGGGCTACCAGGCATATCTGGGGTCTTCCCAGGGGCCATTTTGCCTGCAGGGACGCTGCGCAATCTGATGACATTTTCGATTGTCACAGCTGCTGGGAGGGATGCTCTTGGCATCTCGTGGGTGGAGGCCAGAGCTACTGTGGATATGCCTCCATGCACGGGACAGCGCCCCCTCAAGGATGATCGGGGTGGCGACCCCCTGCCTGGGGATCCTGCCTGGGCTGGTCCAGGCCCTGGGGGACGCTGAGTGCAGCTGTTTGTTGCAGATCTTGGAGCTGGGGCGGCACAGTGAGTGTGTACATGTCACTGAGGAGGAGGTGAGTGAGGTGGGGGTGTGGGGTGGGGGCACGGAGCCGGCATGGAGCCAGAGCCCTCACCCCTGCCCATACCCCTCAGCAGCTGCAGCTGCGGGAAATCCTGGAGCGGCGGGGGTCTGGGGAGCTGTATGAGCATGAGAAGGACCTGGTGTGGAAGCTGCGGCACGAAGTCCAGGAGCACTTCCCGGAGGCGCTAGCCCGGCTGCTGCTGGTCACCAAGTGGAACAAGCACGAGGATGTGGCCCAGGTGGGTGGGGAGGGGCACCTGAGGGTGAAGCTGGGGGCAGACCACAGCATCTGGCTACCCACCACCCTGACCCTGGCCAACCCTCACCCTGACCCCGGCCGGCCATCATCCTGACCCCAGCCAACCCTCACCCTGACCCCGGCCAACCCTCACCCTGACCCCGGCCAACCCTCACCCTGACCCCGGCCAACCCTCATCCTGACCCTGGCCGGCCATCATCCTGACCCCGGCCAACCCTCACCCTGACCCCGGCCAACCCTCACCCTGACCCCGGCCGGCCATCATCCTGACCCCCACCCCTCCCCTGACCCCCCCCCCCCCCCCCCCCCCCCCCCCCCCCCCCCCCCCCCCCCCCCCCCCCCCCCCCCCCCCCCCCCCCCCCCCCCCCCCCCCCCCCCCCCCCCCCCCCCCCCCCCCCCCCCCCCCCCCCCCCCCCCCCCCCCCCCCCCCCCCCCCCCCCCCCCCCCCCCCCCCCCCCCCCCCCCCCCCCCCCCCTGACCCCGCCTCATCCACCCGACCACCTCCACCCTGACCCCGGCCACCCCGAAGCCTGACCTCGGCCTCTACTCCCCACAGATGCTCTACCTGCTGTGCTCCTGGCCGGAGCTGCCTGTCCTGAGCGCCCTGGAGCTGCTGGACTTCAGCTTCCCTGATTGCCACGTAGGCTCCTTTGCCATCAAGTCGCTGCGGAAACTGACGTGAGTCCCAGCTGGGCATTCCCCACTTCTCCAGAGGGCAGCTGTGTCCTGGCTGCCAGGACCTGGGCTCTGGATGGGGCCTGAAACTTCCTGTGGGCTTGCTCCCTCCTGCCTGGCCTCCCTCTGGCTGCCGAGGGAGCTCCCTCCTGTCCTGAGTCAGGGAGCTCCGGGCCCCAGCGCCTTCCTTCCCTGCAGGGACGATGAGCTGTTCCAGTACTTGCTGCAGCTGGTGCAGGTGCTAAAGTATGAGTCCTACCTGGACTGCGAGCTGACCAAATTCCTGCTGGACCGGGCCCTGGCCAACCGCAAGATCGGCCACTTCCTTTTCTGGCACCTCCGGTAGCGGGACTCGCCCCAGCCGTTCTGTGGGAATCCCAGCCCCTGAGTCTCCCCGGAAGGCCATGGGGGATGTTTCCAGCAGGCCTGGGTGTCCTGGCCTCACTAGGTCCTGCTGGGTGGGAGGGGCTGCGTGGTCCTGCCTGGCGAGGCTCAGCCCTCCCTTCCCCTTCCAGCTCCGAGATGCACGTGCCGTCGGTGGCCCTGCGCTTCGGCCTCATCTTGGAGGCCTACTGCAGGGGCAGCACCCACCACATGAAGGTGCTGATGAAGCAGGTGAGGCTCAGGGCCCTGGGGGTGGGCAGGCGGCGGCCCTGAGCCTCTGAGAATCCCCAGGGCTGGGCCAAGGCTGGGACCTGCCCACTGCCACTCTCCCATCTGCCCACCAGGGGGAAGCACTGAGCAAACTGAAGGCACTGAACGACTTCGTCAAGCTGAGCTCTCAGAAGACCCCCAAGCCCCAGACGAAGGAGCTGATGCACTTGTGCATGCGGCAGGAGGCCTACCTAGAGGCCCTCTCCCACCTGCAGTCCCCACTCGACCCCAGCACCCTGCTGGCTGAAGTCTGGTGAGCCCAAGCCCCACCATGAGGGCTCCTCCCACCCCTGGGAGGCCGGCGGAGGAGCCCCCTGACTGCCCGCTCTCTGTCCCGGCAGTGTGGAGCAGTGCACCTTCATGGACTCCAAGATGAAGCCCCTGTGGATCATGTACAGCAACGAGGAGGCAGGCAGCGGCGGCAGCGTGGGCATCATCTTTAAGAACGGGGATGGTGAGGGCCTGGCCTCCCCACACCCCGCCTGTGCTGCCCTGGGGGGGTCCTGGGGTGCTCCTAGAGTTGGGGTGGAGAAGACAGAATCCTGGGACTTAGGAGCTTGGGTGTGGCTGGAAGCAGAGAACCTACCAGAAACTCATACTTCTCCTCCCACTGGCCGGCGGCACAGACCTCCGGCAGGACATGCTGACCCTGCAGATGATCCAGCTCATGGACGTCCTGTGGAAGCAGGAGGGGCTGGACCTGAGGTGAGGGCCCCCACCCGCTGTCGTCCCTTGGTGTCTGTGCCTAGCCTGGGAGTCTGTGCCTCTGGAAGGGTCCTTGTCGAAGGTGGCATGACCATCTTAGCTGGGGAAAGGGCTGTCCTAGGAAGAGCTGGGAGCAGTTTAACTCTAGGCCAGGAGGCGGTGGGCAGCAGTATGCATGAAGGCCACTCCTGGGGCTTAGTGTGTACCCTGCTCTGTTGCTTTAGTTGCCCGGGTGCCCCTGGCTCCCTCAGCCCATCTTGGGAAACAGTGGCATCTTCTCCCAAGGCCCCTGGCTGGTTCTGTTCCAAGCAAACGTGAGCTCAGCCATGGTGCTTTCTGTACCTGAGGTGCTGGTGCTGGTGTCTCCAAGGAGCCAGCATCGCTCCCCTGCTTTTTAGCAATGTGGGCAACAGCATCTTCTGTGGCTTTTGGGGGCACCATGAGTTTCTGGGGCTCAAGTGGCCTCAGGGACAGCCCTTGACCGTGCCATTTGCCCGTCCCTCTTCCCACTTGCCTAGGATGACCCCCTACGGCTGCCTCCCCACCGGGGACCGCACAGGCCTCATTGAGGTGGTACTCCGCTCAGACACCATTGCCAACATCCAACTCAACAAGAGCAACATGGCAGCCACAGCCGCCTTCAACAAGGATGCCCTGCTCAACTGGCTGAAGTCCAAGAACCCAGGGTGGGTTTCAGGCCCAGGGAGGAGACTCCACACCTTCTTTCCAAGAGGTGTGGAGTGGGAGGCCTAACCTGTCAGAGCAAAGGAGCGGGGAGGGGCCTCAGACCATCTCTGTGGCTATTTGGCTCAGTTGAGGACCAGCCTGTGTCTGGGTTGGGGTGAGGCGGGTCTCTGTTCCCCAAGTATCAGTGTCTCTTGCTATGCAACACCATCCAAAGTGCAGGGCCTTAAAAAACAGCCATTTAAGATTGGCTCACAAATTTGCAGTCTAGGGCTGGGCTCAGCTGGGCGGCCCTTCTGCTGGTTCTGCATAATCACTCTGCAGCTGTTCTCATCTGGTGCCTTAACTGGGCCAGCAGGGTCTGAGATAACGCATCTCATTCCTGGGGCCTTGGCGCCAGCTGTCTGTGATGCCTCTCTGCATGAGGCATCCTCATTTAGCAGCCTCACCTTCTCTCCATGGCTCTGTATTGAGGGTGTGGGGTTCAAGATCTGCAGGTGTCTTCAGGCCTTGGCTCTGGAGTAGCGTCTGCAAGTGACATCCGGCGTTGTGTCCTCCATGTTGTGTTGGTCAAAGCAAGTCACAGGGCCAGATTCAAGGGGAGAGGGAGTAATAACCCACCTCTTGGTAGGAGGAGCTGCAAAATGGTGTGGCCATGGTTTTCAATCTTCCCCACCCAGGGAGGCCCTGGATCGAGCCATTGAGGAGTTCACCCTCTCCTGTGCTGGCTACTGTGTGGCCACATACGTGCTGGGCATCGGCGATCGGCACAGCGACAACATCATGATCCGAGAGAGTGGGCAGGTACAGGGGGTGGTGCTGGCAGCTGCCACGGGGACCTGGCTTCTGGCCCCAGCCTGCTGGCCCTTCTGCCCGGCACACAGCTCTGTGGCAGGGGTCCCCCAGCCCTGCTGGCTTCCTGTCTCCCCTGGATTCTCTCCTCTCTGACACCTTCTCAATCCTCCCCCTCCTCTCCTCTCCCCTCAGCTGTTCCACATTGATTTTGGCCACTTTCTGGGGAATTTCAAGACCAAGTTTGGAATCAACCGTGAGCGTGTCCCATTCATCCTCACCTATGACTTTGTCCATGTGATTCAGCAGGGGAAGACTAATAACAGTGAGAAATTTGAAAGGTAAGAGTGCCTGAGCCCCACCAGATGCCCCTCAGTGTGGGGCCCCAGGGAACAGGGCAGAGGTTCCCAGGCAGGGTGCAGGATGGGGCTCAGCTCTCAGCCCCAAACTTGGCCCCTCACCCCAGCTGGTGATGGGTTTGAAACATGCCCCTGCTCTGCCCTGCAGTGCCCCTTTTGGGCAATGTGGGCAGGTTTGTGGGTCGTATAGCAGGAGGCTGGCTGGGGCACGGGGGTCAGTTAGAAGAACTGGGGGCCTTGTGTCCACCCATTTCCAGGGCAAGGGCAGGTGCCTTCAGGGAAGGGGCTGGTTGAATGCAGAGCGGCCCTCTGGCCTGTGGCTGGGAGGACCCAGAGCCTCTCACCTCCTGTGCCCCCCACCTGCAGGTTCCGGGGCTACTGTGAAAGGGCCTACACCATCCTGCGGCGCCACGGGCTTCTCTTCCTCCACCTCTTTGCCCTGATGCGGGCGGCAGGCCTGCCTGAGCTCAGCTGCTCCAAAGACATCCAGTACCTCAAGGTATGTGCCAGGCAGGGAGTCTTCTGTTGCCAATGGCCTTCCAAGGCCTGCCCCCGAGCAATTCGACCTAGGAGGGCCCTGAGTGCAGTAGGCCCCAAAGGGCACTGAGCTGTGTGTGCCTTACGCCGTCCCAGGACCCAGCAGTAGGGTTGGTGGGCGGTGGAGGGGGAAGTGGGTGGAGCAGAGTTGAGCCACCTGGGCATGGTTCCACCTAGTGGCAGATGTGTAGTGACCTCTTCGGGTTGGGCCACTGTGCTTGGGCTGCGGGGCTTTCAGGTATCCACAGGGCCACATGAGATCTGGCTCCCTCTGCCTTCTAAAAGATATTTTTCGGCCGGGCACAGTGGCTCACGCCTGTAATCCCAGCACTTTGGGAGGCTGAGGTGGGTGGATCACCTGAGGTCGGGAGTTCGAGACCAGCCTGACCAACATGGAGAAACCCCATCTCTACTAAAAATACAAAATTAGCCGAGCATGGTGGTGCACACCTGTAACCCCAGCACTTTGGGAGGCCAAGGCAGGTGGATCATGAGGTCAGGAGTTCGAGATCAGCCTGACCAACATGGTAAAACCCTGTCTCTACTAAAAATAGAAAAGTTAGCCAGGTGTGGTAGCAGGCACCTCTAATCCCAGCTACTCAGGAGGCTGAGGCAGAAGAATCACTTGAACCTGGGAGGCAGAAGTTGCAGTGAGCCGAGATCATGCCACTGCACTCCAGCCTGGGCGACAGAGTAAGACTGTCTCCAAAAAATATATATATATATATATATAAAAAAACCTGCTTTCAGAGGTGGCTTAGATAATGGCAGAGTGGGCCGGGCACAGTGTCAACCTGGGAACTAGGGGCTCTGGGGCCAAGACGTCTTTGGTACCTTCATTTGAGGGCGGGATCGGAATAGAGAGCTTTTCCTGGGATGCCGGGGGCTCTCTGCTAACCCCTTCATGCAGTGACTCTGAAGTCCCCAGAGAGGGCCGCATCCCAGAGCAAGGTCCGGGTCCCCTTAACGCGGACACCGCTGTGATTTGTTCGCAGGACTCCCTGGCACTGGGGAAAACAGAGGAGGAGGCGCTGAAGCACTTCCGAGTGAAGTTTAATGAAGCCCTCCGTGAGAGCTGGAAAACCAAAGTGAACTGGCTGGCCCACAACGTGTCCAAGGACAACAGGCAGTAGCGGCATCTCCCAGCCCTGGGCCCGAGAGGAGGCAGCCGCGGGCCGTGGGGACCAGGCACGCTGGTTGTCCTAAAGGGGCTGAAGAGCCTGAACTGCAAAAAGAACTTACACAGCTGCCTTTTGTTTACACTGGTTATTTATTTATGACTTGAAATGTCTTAAGGAGCTAAACAGCCATAAACGGAAATGCCTCCTCTGTGCAGCGGCGGTGCTGGGCCCCTCGAGGCCGCACCTGGCTCTCGGCTGAGGACTGTCACCCCAAGTCTTCCAGCTGGTGGATCTGGGCCCAGCGAAGACTGTTCTCCTCCTGGGGTCACCACCTTCCCAGGCCTCCCGCCAGACTGCCTGGGTCCTGGCGCCTGGCGGTCACCTGGTGCCTACTGTCCGACAGGACGCCCTGATCCTTGTGCAACCCGCCCTGTGTGTCCTCCCTAGACTGAGTTCTGGCAGCTCCCCAAGGTGCCTGGGGTACCCTCTAGATTCAGGGATGTTTGCTCTCCACTTTTCAAGTGGGTCTTGGGTACGAGAATTCCCTCACCTCTCTCTGCTGTAAAGTGATTTTGTTTGCAGGTAAGAAAACAATAGATGACTCACCACACCTCTACGACTGGGGAGATCAGGCCCAGCCCCATAAAGGAGAATCTGCGCTGGTCCTCAGGGCGTGTTAAAGAGATCTGGGCCTCGTGTAGCTCACCCTGGTCACACACGAAGGCGAAGGTGGGTCAGAGGCGAATACTCCGCCATTATCTCAATTTTTTTTTTTTTTTTTTTGAGATGGAGTCTCAGTTGCCCAGGCTGGAGCGCAGTGGTGCAATCGTGGCTCACTGTAACCTCCACCTCCCGGGTTCTGAGCCTCCCGGGTACTCAGCCTCCTGAGTAGCTGGGGTTACAGGCGTCCACCACCATAGCCAGCTAATTTTTGTATTTTTAGTAGAGACAGGGTTTCACCATGTTGGCCAGGCTGGTCTCGAACTCCTGACCTCCAGGTGATCCACCCACCTCAGCCTCCCAAAGTGCTGGCATTACAGGCATGACGCCGTGCCCAGCCCACTCTGCCATTATCTAAGCCACCTCTCAAAGCAGGTTTTAACAAAAGGATGAGGCCAGATCTCTTTTGGGAACCTGCTGTGAGAGTGCTCAGGTAGCAGAAGTGTGAGAGCGAGGACGCATGCTGGGATCTTTCTCTTTGACTGTACTTAGTTTGAAATGGTGCAGGCTTAGTCTTAAGCCTCCAAAGGCCTGGATTTGAACAGCTTTAGAAATGCAGGTTCCAGGGCTTCTCCCAGCCTTCAGAAGCCAACTCTGCAGATGGGGCTAGGACTATGGGCTTTTAGCAGCCCCCAGGTGACCCTAACGTATCAGCCGTGGACTCAGGACCTACCCGGTGATGCTGTTGATCTCTCAAAGGTCTTCCAAAACTCAACAGAGCCAGAAGTAGCCGCCTGCTCAGCGGCTCAGGTGCCAGCTCTGTTCTGATCCACCAGGGGTCCGTCAGCAGCCAGTGCTACCCGTGGGGCACCTCCCTGGCCACACGCCTGTTCCTAGCAAGTGCTGAAACTCACCAGACCGTCTGCCTTTTTGAAATGGGGAAAGCCGTGCGTGCGCGTGTTATTTATTTAAGTGCGCCTGTGTGCGCGGGCGTGGGAGCACACTTTGCACAGCCACAGCGTTTCTGGTTTGGGTGTACAGTCTTGTGTGCCTGGCGAGAAGAATATTTTCTATTTTTTTAAGTCATTTCATGTTTCTGTCTGGGGAAGGCGAGTTCAGTATCACTGATGTGGGTTGAGACCAGCACTCTGTGAAACCTTGAAATGAGAAGTAAAGGCAGATGAAAAGAAAGAAAAAGTATTTTTATGTTCTTATGTTCTCGGCTCAAAAAGAAACAAGGGAGTGCAGGTTTAAAACCAAAACAGGAGAGAAGACAAACCCCGCTCCGGCTGGAGTTAGAACCAGAACTTTATTGTAGCAGATACACTTTCTGACCTGTCAATCATCAATATACACATCTGCGAAGGGAAACCGCGCAGTGACAGCATGAGGACATCCCCTGGGCGTGAGCGTCTGTCCGCTGTCTAAACGGAGCAGCTACAGGGACAGGACATGGAGGATGGCCACACACAGCACAGCACAGCCACCAGTGTCCTCAGAACCAGCAGTCAGGGTCACAGAACAGTATTCAGAATGATTGCCCACCCGTTTTAGAAATCTAAAAGTTTACATGTAACTAAGAGCAAAGTGCTATGTGGGTTTTTAGACCATGACTGTTTTCTCTCCTTTTGCCCTACCACTGAACACAGCAGCAGGGCTCCTGGGGGGAGAGGGATTTCAACCCCCCCTGATGGCAGGAGGCATCCCATGGGGGCGGGGGCTCTGGGGAGGAGAGAGGAGAGAACAGGCTGTTGTGGAAAATTCCAGCACTTTGCCTTCAGGCCATGGGTCTCTGCTGGACGTTCTGAGTACAGATCACTCAGGCCTCCTGCCTTCTCCGAAGGGAGTGGTCAGCCGGTCTGCAGGACACCTGTCAGTCTCTCCTTTTACCAGCAGGGAAATGCACATCTCAGCATAAACCACAAGGCTGCACACGGTGAGACCAGGCCACTGCACAGGGAGCTGCTGTAGGAGGAGTGTGGAAAAGGGGCCAGTGACCCTGCACCCCTGCACCCCACGCCAAATTAGGAACAGGTCAAATCCCAAAGGTGAGGCCCGGCTACTTGTAGCTGCCAAAGGGTGGCCCTGGTCCAGTCTCTTGAGCAGCACAGCTAAAGGCCTGTGACCCTGACTCCCGGCCACACTCAGACCTGAGCAGGGGCTGGGACGGGGCTGGGACGGGGCTGGGCCTCTCCCTTCGGCGTCGGGGGAGGGAGGGCCCGGTGGGAAGAGCCCGTGCTCAGAGCTCTGAACTTCACTTTACATTCCAGTCCCGGGTTACACTAGCACAAAGGACACAAGGAATCCGATTTATTTACAAAATATTAAAAAGTCAGTTAATCATCTACACAGTACCCCCCCATCCTGCCATTATTTATACATGCACTAGTTTGGAAAAAATAAAAACTTTTTTTAAAAAAGAAAAAAATGATTACCGGGTGGGAGTGAGCATGTTTTACCCTTTGTCAACGAGTCCAGCTGGCATGGCTTTTCTGGAGTGTGAGGGGCCAGCGTCCTCTCCCCGGGGCGGGGGAGACTCCAGACACAAATGCAGGGCCTGAGGCGCTGCGAGGCCCCTGTGCGAGCCGGATGGCGGCCAGAGAGGACGTGTTGGCTCCTCGTGGGACTGAAGAGAGCGACCAGGCAGAGGGCAGGCGGGAGCCTAGGGTCCTACACACCAAGCACGGCGACGATCGTGGCGGGGAGGGGTCTGCACACCTACTGGCTGAAATGACTTTGTACATCGTGGACCCTTGGGACTGGGAGAACAGATGGCAGCAGAGTCTTTGGAAGCAGAAACCAAGATGGCCGGGGGCGCGGGTCAGTAGCTGAGGGTGGAGTCATCCCACTCCAGCTGCTGCTGCCGGGTCGCGTTCTGGGGGTCGCCCTGCTCCCCCTCCTCCTCCTCGCTGCTCTCCGACTCTGCGCTGGTGATGTCATCTTCTTCCTCGCCGTCCTCGCTCTCCTCTTCCTCCTCCTCCTCCTCCTCCTCCTCACTGCTATGCTGGTCCTCGTAGGTCTGGCAAGAAGAAGTGACAGCCACGTGAGTCCAGCCCTGCCCACAGCCCTGTCACCCGGCATTCTCCTCTCCACAGCCACAGAGGAAGGAGAACTTGCCCCAGCGTCTCCCTCCCCAGCGAGAGTAGCCAGAAGTGAAGGGAAGGCCGGGCACGGTGGCTCACGCCTGTAATCCCCACACTTTGGGAGGCCGAGGTGGGCGGATCACGAGGTCAGGAGATCAAGACCATCCTGGCTAACACGGTGAAACCCCATCTCTACTAAAAATACAAAAAATTAGCCAGGCGTGGTTGTGGGCACCTGTAGTCCCAGCTACTTGGGAGGCTGAGGCCGGAGAATGGTGTCAATCTGGGAGGCGGAGCTTGCAGTGAGCCGAGATGGCGCCACTGCACTCCAGCCTGGGCGACACAGGGAGACTCCATCTTAGCAACAACAACAAAAAAGAAGTGAAGGGAAAACAAAGCTCCAGTGAGTACCCATGGAGTCACCCACATACAAGGCAGCTGGGGACAGCACCTCGGCTACCCCACCAGAGAATTCTCTCAGGAGTCCCATGGCCAAGAGCGCCCAGCCCTGGCACGGCTCACCTCCACACTTAGTAGGCAGCACGGCCTTGAATAAGGCCTCTCTGAGCCTCGGTTTACCCATGAAGACACCTAAGCCCCAGGCTTGCTGAGCAGATGATGCGATGGAAAGCGTGTGAACCCGAAGGAGCCGCGCCATACTGGCTTCTCGGAGGCCCTGGCCCGCACTGCCTCTCAGTCTTGGAGGTCGCCTGCCCACTCCTACCTCCATGGGGTTGACAGTGATGGTCAAGGCGGAGTCGTCCCAGTCCATCTCGTTCTCCTTCCCGGTGTCCTGATCCCGCATGGTCCGCTGATGTGCGGCACGGATCCGAAACACCCCCAGGATGATCATGAACACCAGGAAGCTGACGCACACCACAATCACAACGGTCGCAGTGCTGGGGACGACTGTGGGAGAATGAGGGGGCGAGGCGTGAGTGAGGTCACTCAGCCCAGAGGGCCACCGTGCCCTTGACCTCCTCGGCTGTGCCCGGTCAAAACGGTCTGGACGGCATGCTTCATCTGAACCCAGACGCCAGGAGGAAATACCAGGAAAAGCTCAGCATGGGCCTCGAATCTGGCTCGGCCACATCCTGCTCTATAGCTGCGGGTGACATCATCTGCCCTCTTTGAGGGCTTTCGTTTTCTTGTGTGTGACGGGGAATAATTGGGACAGGGACTGACCGGCAGTCATGCTGAGTAGGAGGCTGTGCCCACGGTGGGGTGGGGGCAGGGCGGACGGCATGGAGCATCTCTGCTCAGTCTCCCTCCCCTTGTCCTACCTGCAAATGGGTGGGGGTTGGCCAGGTTGTGGCCTGACAGGTCAACAAAGGAGCGGTGTTCCGGGTGCACGAACTGTGGCTGGGCAGCCATGTGGTTGGCGTGTTCCACGGGGTTGGCCGTGTGGATTACATTCACCTACAGCGGAGAAAGAGAAAGGAACGCTGGAAACATCCTGAGCCTATCCCAGAGGTGACAGTGGAGTCCCGCAGCTGGCATGACCAGTGCCACTCAGAGTGGCTCCAGGACTGCAGCTGGGGGCAAATGGAGCTACGGGAAAAAGACCAAAAAAAAAAAAAAAATCAAGAGTAAGCACTTAAAAAACAGAAACAGAAAAATAAAAACCAACCAAACAAAAGAGAGTACTAAGCACTTAAAAACTGCTGTAACAATCTAGTATTGTCAGACGTTCCAGAAATGTATCACTTTTCTAATTATTATTATTATTATTTGTTGAGACTGGGTCTTGCTGTGCTGCCCAGGCTGGAGCACAGGAGCTGTTCACAGACATGATCACGACTCACTGCAGCCTGGAACTTCTGTGCTCAAGTAATCCCCCCCCTTCAGCCTCTCAGGTAGCTGGGACTACAGACAAGCACCACGCACCTGGCCGCAATCCATTTTTCTTGCATTTTATAAAAGATTATGCTCAAAACAAGAGCAGAAAAACAAGCCGACGGCCCTCCCCCTGGGTCGTTTGGGAAGCACTGGCGCAGACCTTTCTTCCTCAAACCACAGTCGTGTGACAGCGCCAATCACTACCACTGATTTCCTTTCCAATCTGTTCCCCTTTGGCTCAAACAAAACAGGCGTCGGTTCTGCAGCACCGAATTTAGCATTCTGCTCTTGAGTTCGTGGTGAGATGTTCCATTGCTAAGAGTAACTTTGGGTCAGTTTTCTCCAGGCCACAGAGGGCCTGAGCAATGAAGCAGCTGCTGGATAGGTCTGTAGACGACCTCAGAGCAGGATGAGCTGCCCTCTACGCAGTGTGGCCTGTGAGTCACCATCACCAGCCTCAGCAGTACTGGTCCTGCCCGTGCGGGTCCCTGCATGAGCCCCTCTCAACCTGGGCTGAAGACTCAACTTCATTCACAGAAGGGCCAGTGACCTGGCACAGATGCAAAGAACTTTTGGTTCCCTGGGAGCTGCTCTTTCTAAAACAGTGCCCTTGGCTGGCCACAGTGGTTCATGCCTGTAATCCTAGCACTTTGGGAGGCCAAGGCAGGTGGATTGCTTGAGCCCAGTGGGGACAAGACCAGCCTGGGCAACATAGTGAGAACTCGTCTCAATCAATCAATCAATCAATCAATAAAACAGCATCCTCCTGTTTCTCTCATGGGAAATCTCAAGAAGCCCCAAAGGCATTAACTGCCACTTGCTCTTTGTCACCTCCCTCCAAGGTTCCTTTGGCTACAATTCAGGCTGAGGCAGCAGGGGAAAGGGGAGCACCCCCCACCCCAAACATAACCTGTCGCTCCAACAAGCCCAGGTGTAACCTGCAGCAGGCCCCAGGCTGGAAAGGCAACCCCCTAGAATGAGCCTGCACAGCTGCCACCGTGAATGCTCTAAGGGCTGGCAGTTGTGAACATCAGGGCTGCAAATCAGAGCACTCACTCACTGCTGCTATTGGCCCTGCTCTGTGGGAGCCCCGTACTCACCTCCACCTTAAATTCGTTGCTGATGTAGCGGCCACTCAGCTCCGAGCAGATGAGCTTAAACTTCCGGTCAAGCAAGGACCTGGCGTGCCAGTTCCGATAGCGCAGGAGGTGCAAAACCTCCTCGTAGCTGGCCATGGTGTCCACACCTGCGGGGGTGGAAAGGGGGAAGATTGCTGGGTGGCTTCGGGCAGGAGCATGGGCAGGGCTGCAGCCGTCAGCACAGGCAGGCTCAATCAGACACCGGGTTAGCTAGGCCAAGGGGTCACACAAGTTGGCCTTCCAGCCATGGGAATAAATGCAGTGTGCACAAGGGCATTCTTCCCTCTGCGGGGGACATGCCATCCCACGCTTCAACCCTCCCCCTTTAAAGAGTAGTGGCTACCCATCCGATTCCTGTCCAGGAGACAGGAGTGTGCATGCAGCCAACAACGATCCCAGTGAACGTGCTCCTTCCCCATCACCCTCTAAGATAACTCAACATTCTCAGATGGCAGGCGGCAGCCAGCCAAGAGCTCTCAAGGTCCCCTGTTGCGGCCTGGCTCACCAGCATGGCTGCGACGCTCCCCTTACCTGTGAAGGTCATGCCCAGCTCAGAGCTGCTCACTTCGATGCCCTTCTGCTGCAGGCGGGCCATGTCCACTTCTAGGCTCTCCTGCTCGTGGTTCAGCTCCTCTCCCTCCACTGTGACCTCACACGTATCCAGGTCATGCACGATCTCCTCAGACACCAGTGATTCTTGAACTGCAAAAGAGGCCCAACCAGAAATATAGCAGGGGCAGTTGGGCCCAGCGTGGTGGGGCACACTCGATGCCCTGCCGGCTCACCCCAAACCTACATGACAGAAGCGTGAGTTGCTTTCAAGAAATGGCCAGACGTGTAATCCCAGCACTTTGGGAGGCCAAGGCGGGTGGATCACCTGAGGTTAGGAGTTCGAGACCAGCATGGCCAACAGGGTGAAACCCCGTCTCTACTAAAAATACAAAAATTAACCGGGCGTCTTGGTGGGTCCCTGTAATCCCAGCTACTTGGGAGACTGAGGCAGGAGAATCACTTGAACCCAGGAGGTGGAGGTTGCAGTGAGCCAAGATCGCATCACTGCACTCCAGCCCGGGTGACAGAGCGAGCCTCCAACTCAAAAAAAGAAAAAAAACAAAAAAGAAAGAAAAAGAAATGGGGGAGTTTCATGTGTCCCGAGTAAAAATTGTGGGGACATTGTGCCCCCATGGGCTGACCAGCTTGGCAGGCACAAGCAGGGTCTCCCACAAGTGCCCTCAACCCCCTCAACCTCAAGCCACATCTCAAAGCCTGAGAGCGACCAGGAAAAGATGCAAGACCCCTCCAGCTGGGATTCCAGAGATCACCCTGAGCTCTAGCTCACGAGTCAGATTCCAGAAGCAA